ACACCCAAAAATAATTTTTTCAGAACGATTTAAAACTATTCAATTGCGCCATAAAATTCCAGCACCTACTCGAATTTTTTTCCCGAAACTGCGTAGGATTTCGGGGATATGTCTATTCACTAAAAATGTTTGTAATTAACCCTTGCAACAGAAAATAATTTTTTCAGAACGATCTGAAATTTTATAATTTTGTCGAAAAATTTGTCCATTTCCGGAATTTTTGTCTCGAAACTGCGTAGGATTTCGGGGATATATGTATTCACTAAAAATGATTATATCTGATCACTACAACCGAAAATAATTTTTTCAGAACGATTTAAAACTATTCAATTTCGCCATAAAATTCCAGTACCTACTCGAATTTTTTTCTCGAAACTGCGTAGGATTTCGGTGATATATCTATTCACTAAAAATGATTATAATTGATCACTACACACAAAAATAATTTTTTCAGAACGATTTAAAACTATTGAATTGCGCCATAAAATTCCAGCACCTACTCGAATTTTTTTCTCGAAACTGCGTAGGATTTCGGTGATATATCTACTCACTAAAAATGATTACAATTGATCACTACACCCAAAAATAATTTTTTCAGAACGATTTAAAACTATTGAATTGCGCCATAAAATTCCAGCACCTACTCGAATTTTTTTCTCGAAACTGCGTAGGATTTCGGGGATATGTCTATTCACTAAAAATGTTTGTAATTAACCCTTGCAACAGAAAATAATTTTTTCAGAACGATCTGAAATTTTATAATTTTGTTGAAAAATTTGTCCGTTTCCGGAATTTTTTTCTCGAAACTGCGTAGGATTTCGGGGATAAGTGTATTCACTAAAAATGATTATACCTGATCACTACAACCGAAAATAATTTTTTCAGAACGATTTAAAACTATTCAATTTCGCCATAAAATTCCAGTACCTACTCGAATTTTTTTCTCGAAACTGCGTAGGATTTCGGTGATATATCTATTCACTAAAAATGATTATAATTGATCACTACACCCAAAAATAATTTTTTCAGAACGATTTAAAACTATTGAATTGCGCCATAAAATTCCAGCACCTACTCGAATTTTTTTCTCGAAACTGCGTAGGATTTCGGTGATATATCTACTCACTAAAAATGATTACAATTGATCACTACACCCAAAAATAATTTTTTCAGAACGATTTAAAACTATTGAATTGCGCCATAAAATTCCAGCACCTACTCGAATTTTTTTCTCGAAACTGCGTAGGATTTCGGGGATATGTCTATTCACTAAAAATGTTTGTAATTAACCCTTGCAACAGAAAATAATTTTTTCAGAACGATCTGAAATTTTATAATTTTGTTGAAAAATTTGTCCGTTTCCGGAATTTTTTTCTCGAAACTGCGTAGGATTTCGGGGATAAGTGTATTCACTAAAAATGATTATAATTGATCACTACACCCAAAAATAATTTTTTCAGAACGATTTAAAACTATTCAATTTCGACATAAAATTCTAGCACCTACACGAATTTTTTTCTCGAAACTGCGTAGGAATTCGGGGATATGTCTATTGACTAAGAATGTTTGTAATTAACGCTTGCAACCGAAAATAATTTTTTCAGAACGATCTGAAATTTTATAATTTTGTCGAAAAATTTGTCCGTTTCCGGAATTTTTTTCTCGAAACTGCGTAGGATTTCGGGGATATATGTATTCACTAAAAATGATTATATCTGATCACTACAACCGAAAATAATTTTTTCAGAACGATTTAAAACTATTCAATTTCGCCATAAAATTTCAGTACCTACTCGAATTTTTTTCTCGAAACTGCGTAGGATTTCGGTGATATGTCTATTCACTAAAAATGTTTGTAATTAACCCTTGCAACAGAAAATAATTTTTTCAGAACGATCTGAAATTTTATAATTTTGTCGAAAAATTTGTCCGTTTCCGGAATTTTTTTCTCGAAACTGCGTAGGATTTTGGGGATATGTCTATTCACCAAAAATGTTTGTAATTGATTCCTGCAACCGAAAATAATTTTGTCAGAACGATTTGAAATTTTATAATTTTTGTCGAAAGATTTGTAAATTTCTTGAATTCGACACTGTATTCGGTAACATTGTTTTCAAACAAATCTCGTATTTTATCCAAGAGTTTACATACACGTCTAGTACTAGATTTTAACAAACTCATTTTCCAACACTTTTCACACTAAATATGAAATATACCATATTGAATCAGTAGAGTAAATGTCGTGTTTCTTTTGCATTAAATCGAATTAATTTTATTAATTTGCACAGTATAATTTCCAAACGACTATAGCACCTTTCTTATGCTGTTGCTTTTACGAACGAGACATCATTGTCATTTATTGTTGACGCATTGTATCTGTGCCTATGAGTGACAATGTCTGTACGAGTAAACGAAACCAACCGGGTTTACGTTCTTCTAATTCTGATCGAAAAACATAAGACTTTCACGCTACCTGTCAGCAGATATCGTTCTCCCTCGATAAGACATAATTTTTATTATACTATGAACTTCCTTGACTGCCGCCTCAATCTTGCGTACTATCATTTGTCATTTTGTTTTGTTTTCCTCGTTATGACGAATAGAGTTTTTAAAAAGTAAATAAATGAATTAACAGATACGAATCGATACTTTTAACACTGGAACTACCAAACCAGTCAAAAAAACTCATTCGTAATTTCTAATAAAACTTGTAAAAAATGTACTCGAATGAATTTTTGAAAATTTATCGTAATTTTCTATAAGAGAATATATAAACACTTATTTCCATTTCATTATATATTTATTCGCATATCTATCGTTTCAATTTCATTGGTACAAATAAACACACTATAATTGTCGGTAGTTCTAGAGTTAAAAGTAATAATAGCGACGAGCGTCCACTCGTTTTTCTATAACTTCGATAACTCGATAAGAAGACAAATTGAACAAAGAAAAAAAAATATTGTTTGCATTACAAAAGAATTTAGAAAACATTGTTCTATATCTCTATTAAGTATATTTGGGTAGTCTTTCTAGAAGGAAGAATTATTTCACTTCTTATGTACCAAGACTATTTGCATACATTTTGTAATCTCGCAGAAGCGAACTGATTACGTACAAAAGATTATAAATTTACTATATTGTTACATGAATGAAAATGTATATCGTGATTATATTATAATAACATAATAGAGCGATTAAGACCGAATCTGTTTGTTTTATTGTGCATTCGCAAGCCCCTCGTTGTGTTGAAATTTATTACAAGCTTCGGCGACAATTTCTTCGATGACTTTATCATAGTTTGCAGGCAAACTTTTAGCGACGAAGACACATGCTATTAGAAGGAAAACTGGCGCCAAAAAGTACACCTGCTCCTTATTTTGCTGACGCAATGATTAGTGGTGCCAGTCAAGTGGCGCCACTTAAATTGACATGTTCCTATATGCAAGGAAATTGGCGCCAATAATCTTTGCATAAGGAAACCCTGAATATCTCTACTTACCGTGCTTCTTATCTGCGACGACGGTGATAAAAATGTGCAAAATTTGTGATTATTACGTTTGAACGTAATATTAGGAGTCATTGAATTTTACTTAATTCGTTGCACTTGCATTTTCGAGAAAGTTTATTCAAATTTTTTCTGGTCCCATTATATCTAGTAATTGTGAATTCGTCATTTGCTAGAAACGTTCGAAAATGTGAAGTATCCGAAAAATGAAATCATTCTTTGACAAGATAGAGACCCCAAATATATTGCAAAATATCTAATAAAATGAATATCTACTACTCGATATAACTTTTAATAACGCATATCGATGTTAAATCAAACAGTTGCACGTTATAAATAACACAATCAAAAGTCCTGATCGGAATCGATGATATCAAAATTTAAGTTGACGATATAATTTACGCATCGTTGCTGTAAACAAAGTTATAACTCGAACAAGATAAAATAAACGCAAAGTACACGGTCAGATTGTTTACCGACCCGTATGTTTTTACATAGCCTTGTATTATCCTTTCGATTCGCATATCCATTGTTGACTTTAACATTATTTTTGGAAAATTCCTTGTAATCTTTCAGTGGTGTTTTCCTTCTAACATTTTTGGATAATTTTAATACGCCCAAAGTAAACTGGACTCGAAAAATAATTTTGTTTCAATGGATTACAAAATGTTCGAAAAGATTGTTTAAATTTTTCATAAAAAAAATATGGGTTAAGGAAGCGATGTGTGTCGACGGCCACCGGTGACCGACGTGGCCTGAACGGAAAGACCAGTGCCGGTCACCGGTGTGCACCGCTGTTACTCAACGCGATAACCTTTTGCGGCCCTACGTTGAGAGCTTGACAGTAATTTATCGATTACTGCTATATCTATCATCTCGTAATATTATAATTCGGTGCACATATCTGATAATTATTTCATCAGTATTTGAAACATGATAAACTAACAGTGACTATAGTCTTCCACGTTGCACGTTTGCTGGATTCTATAGTCACCCGTTAAAATTTCGCATTTTTGTGTGTATATGGAGGGGGTAACCGTTTATAACAAATAAATAATTGCTATAGTAAGTATAGTAGAACGAAATACAAGTAGCTCTCCTACAACACGGCATCCTATAATACGGTTTCGTTCTAACACGATAAGAAAATTGCGAGAACATTTGTACAACACTGTACCTTAAAATAATGACGCGAAGGAATAATGAATTATAGTGGCTTTGCATGAAAATATATAAACAAATTATAATTTATTAAATTAAGGTTGCGTTAAATTAAAATAATATTTTTTTGTTTTAAAATTAAGTTTGTTATGTAGAATTAAAAAAAAATATTTATTTTTAATAAATTTTTGTATTGGCTCTGGGTTTCATATAACACGGTTTCGAGGAACTTATCTACCGTGTTACAGGAGGGTTACCTGTATAAAAAACGTTTAGGACGAGAAAGAGTCTAAGAAGAAACGGACGAAAGGTAGGAGGAAAGAAGACTTACCGGGTTTGCAGAGCCGACTCCAGTGGTAAGGGTTACAGCATATGTATACGGGGTCTTTAGCGGAATGACAGACAGGAAGTGTCTTGAGCTCCGAGGAGTGAGCGAGATCCGGCCACCGCCAGATCTGGCAGCAGAGCAGGTGAGGATCGATCGGCGCGTTATCGAGCGAGCCTCGAATCGGTACCCTGCACCGTTCCGGACTCACCGGCGATGTGCACGACGACGAGTCCTCCGAGCCAGAATTCTGTTCGTCGTCGTTCTCCAGCGAGGAAGAACGATGATGCCTACGATGATGCCGATGATGATAGTGGTGATGATGGGGGTGATGATAGTGATGATTGTTGTGGTGATTGTAACGATGCGGACGATAGTATGGTTGGTCCGGATCGTAGGTATCATCCGGATGCTGACGGGGCACGAGGACGCACGAGCCGAGATCGGCACCGCAGCTCTCCACGGCGGTGACTAACATCTCTAGCTGATTTTCCTTCAACGACTTGAGGAGCTCCTTGCACCTTAACAAACGAACGGGATCCTCGTCATCGTCCTGGCTCTGATCGCCGCCGCAGCAACCTTGATGCAGTCTACTCGACAAGATACGGCTACCTCCTCCTCCTCCTCCTGCTACTCCTCCTCCTCCTCCCCCACCACCTCCGCCTATCGCACCTCCTGACGACGCTCCGCGCGCTCCTCTGCTAGCTTGGCCCGTCGTTGCCGTCACGTTGCTCGTGTCGTTGTCGGTGCCGATCGTGTTGTTTGCGCGATGAATACGTGACGAATCCTCTTGAGCTTCACACTCGGTTTCATGCTCTCCACAGACCTTGGCCTTTAGGAGACGTCTAGTGAGCGCCGTCCGTTTGCTCCAGAACATGAACATGAAACAGGATTTGCGGTACGCGCATTTGGGGGCCAGTACTTTTTAACGTAGCCGCGCGGAAAATAAGAAATATTTGGGAAACGGTGCCGGACGCGGCACCCCGCGACACCACCGCAAAAACCGGAGGACAACTTTCCTCCGCGTAAACCTCCTCCTCCCCCCCCCCTCCCCGCCCCACTCCCCTTACGACGACGCTTCTCTTCCTCCTCTTGTTTCTTTTACTTCGCCACCTCCGCTAGACGCGTCGTTTTTTTCTCTTCTTCGCCAACGAGGCTATCTCCTCCTGTTCCTCTTTCGCCAACACGGCGACTACGACGAAAAAACAGAAGACGAGAAGTATATACACCGTCGGTTACACACTGTCGAGAAAGAAACAAACACTGCTCCTCCTGCGCCGACACGCATACGACCGAAGAAATCACAGACGAACGGACGGTCCCCAGCGACTTCTGACGGGGCCAGCCAGGCACACGCGCGTATATTTATTTATGCTCTCTCTCTCTCTGCGTACCTCGTGCACTTTGGATCACGGTCCCGAAATAGTGTGAGTCCCCCGGTGGCAGTATGCAGGGCTACGGTTTCTCGGCTAGCTGCTCGTTGGAACGATCACGCCCGTTAAACGCACGTCGCTCTTTAACCCTTTGCTTTCGCGACGGTGTGTTTTTCAAATTTTTTACAGCGCCCCTGGCGCGCGACGGTGAATCAAAGTAGAACAAACGGGATATACGTCTTCACCCTCGTGTCCTCTTCGTGTCGATAACTTTTTCGAACGCGTGAACGAGGTTGTGTCGAATACCGTCTGCTGACCTTGAACTCTCATTTACCTACGTGCCACTGTATACGCAAACTTGTCGACCGATTGGTCGACGGTGCCAGCGTGCGGGCGCGCGCACCCACGAATCCACGTACGATAACCGCGCACCGATTCGTATCGCAACGATCTCGATCAGTGGAACAGGCGCCTTTTCATCTCGCGATTCTCCTTCGAATCGATTCGTGGTACTTCCGTTTTCAGCCAATATGAAATTACAAGTTTGCTCTTCGGTTCGATGAAACGAGCATAGCGGCAATAACCGTTGTCCAATGCGGTCCCGTCGGTAGGCAAAAAGTAATCGACGATTTGTTCGATGGCGAACGAATGTAGCGCATAATATAACGGCGGAAGGCACGAGAGGGTTCTCTGTCTCGATGTCCACGACGGTCCGCGGACGTCAGCTTTGGTCGTCCGTGGTCGTGTACGGTGCAACGGTCGCCGGCGAGGTTACGGACGCGCACTAATAGTATCACGATGCACTTCTTATCCGCTGGACGTAGGCAGCACGGATCGGTGGCGCTCGCACACGACACCGGTTCTTGACTTTCCTCGACGTTGTGTATCGACAGCGATGTTGGTGCCTTAACCTCGCGACCCGGCACACAAGCACAAATACACACACGAGCGCGTAGAAAATACGTACATCGGCGCCGGTCGCCTTTAGCAAGAAATTGTTTTCTATCGTAACGAATCCTCCTTTTAAACGACGACTCTGCCAGCCGCGTAATACCACGCCGCTTGATCAATGTTTCTCGAATCTCGGACGTCTAGGCCCCGCACGATACGGTAGTGCCGTTTTCGTTCTTGGTACTCCTTTGCCCGTGCCGTCACCAATGCCGGCGCACCGGCACCACATAACAACAATGACGACGACGACGACGACGACACTTTAACCTCAAATCCGAGATTGTCGCGTCGATCACTCCCCGTCATCCGTATACGCGTATCACCGAGTGACATTTTCCGCTCGCATCGTCCGTCTTTCTCTACTCCTTCTCACTGTTCTCACTATTCACCGTAACACACTTGTCGCTCGTCACCCATCGCCGTCGCCGGCCTGCGGGCTTATTCGCGCGAGGCGACCGCGAGGACGCGCACTGTCACATTCTTGAAATTGCTGCCCGGAGAGCAAGCGAGAACGAGCAAAGACACTAACGGGTAGGGATAACGCGAGAACCAAGACAGACGGTTAGGAGAGAGAGAGCAAAATACACTCCGAGAAAAAGAGAGTAGTAGGGAGGACTAGCGCGCACAGATCGGATATATAACTCGCGGAGGGCGAGAGAGGTCGAACGAGAGTAGCGCTTCGGTTGCACGTTTTAAAACTTCGATACGCACACGAGCCGATAATAAAAAGTTTGTGCGCGTGACTGAGAAAATTATTGCGTTCGGTCTCGCCCGTGGCGTTACGCTCGATCTCGGCTGTCTCAACTTCTTCTAATAGTCGTTCTCGTCTTCGCGCACAGATACTGACGTAGTCACGGGGCAAACTGTTGCGAGGAACAACCGCGATCACGGTCGTAACACGACTCGACTCGGCTCCGCTCGACGACGCGACTGGTACGCACGAGGTCTCCGTCATGAGCGCACACACCGATTTCCACCGCCTCTTCCTCCACCTCCTCGTCGCCGCCGTCGCTCGTCTCGTCCCGTCCGTCTCGTCTCGGCGCGCCGATACACCGACCGCAGCATACTAAACACACAAGGGAGATTGTTAAACATGGCCGTCGCTGCCGCGCCATTATTTCCGCCGTTCGCCGCGAGAGGCGCCATCGGTGGCGGCGCTCGCAGGGCACTCGTACACCGTGAATCGCAGATTAGACTTTTTCAATTTTTCTTTACATATTCGAGCGTTCGAATACGTCGGTGCTTTAACCGTTTGCCGACGGAAAGATTCAAAGTATTCCTTATTTAACTACAGTCGTTTAACGTTATCATATTATTTTCTCAACGCTAGAATTACCGACGACTTGCGTGTACCTGCTTTTACCAGAGGGGTAAAAATTACTTGTTTTTTAAAATAACGAGTATTACGGCAGAAAATTGCGTTTGCTTCAAGCTAAATTAAACACATTCTTGAGATGCAACAGCTTCGTTGACTTCTGAAATCCTAATGGAACCGAAAGATTACCTAAATTCTAGACCATTATAGTACGTAAAGTATTTTTCTCGAATAATGGGATTTTCCGTTTCCTCGTAACAACGAGTCGTACGAATGTTGGAAAGTATTTTCAAGTAACGAGTCTTCTAAAAACTTTCGAAGCGCAGATCGATCGATCGTGGATCTCCGCGCGTTTGCCATCCGTGCAACTGGAACACGTTGCGGAGCAGGATAAGTAGTGGAAGGAGAAGGTGGTGATGACAAGGGGTGAGGGAAAGAAGCGAAAGACGGCGGGGGGAGGTTAGTCCAGGCAAGAAGGGAGGCAAAACGTAAGGTGGACTCGTTTGAAGACGGGGGCGTCAGCCGGTCGGTCGCGGTTACTCGAGCGGCCGAGCAGACTGACGCCAGCGTCTCTGCGTAGCGCCAGCGCCAGTCACCGACAAGTACTCCACCCGGAGGGTCAACATTCCAAGACGAATTTCAGTCATGATAATTCTCGTAAAGGAGATACCCGACCAACGTCTTGTTGTCGCTTAATCAGAAAAGATTGTTGAGGAAGGAAAGAAACACCGAGAAAAGAATTTATCTATCGTTTTCCAGATTACGTGTAGTACATGTACTTGTAATAGTATCGATACGATTCTTTGGTACTTACGCGACATCAGATTCAGTCTAGGGGGAAGATTGTTCGAGAAGCCATTGGTGAATCTGTAAAAAGATTGATTCTTTCGAGGCGTCGATTGTGACAAAATTATTTTTACATATACAAGCTATTGAAAAGGTTCCTCTTCGGAGTATTAGGCAAACGGAAGTTGTAAATTAAACTCCTTCGTTCGGACAATGTTTGTTAGAACCGTGCGGAATATCTGATTCCTGGCTATCGCGGAACAAAAAATCAACGCACATTTGAACCCAACCACACCTTCGTTAAGGCAGGTATAAATAGCGAAGGGAGATATTCTAAAGACTACGGGGAATCTGGAATGGCATATCGCGATATAAATTCCAAATATAGTCCCTTATAAAATGTTTGGGTTTAATTATTTTCCTTTCTTGATATTTAGTTGCAATTTCGAGGAATTCTTTGCGAGAAATAAAATAAGTTACTGCAAATATAAATATAACTGTATATAAAATTTAAGTCGTTCAGATAATTTCAATTGTATACAAATTCCGATCACACTGTTAGAACGTATTTCTATTTAACAAAGATCGTAAAGTAAGAATTAAATGTGGCAAAATTTTGGATTTTATTTTTAAAAATGAAATACATTTGATCGATAATTATATTATGTGTTACGTAATTTATCTTTATACCAAAAGATGTAAGGCATTCAAGAAACGCTGATGCGGACTAATAATATATGTATAGCTCCCGTTCAAAAAGAAAGGATAATAAAAAAAAAAAAAGAATACCGACGACACAGAAACATTTCAGTCGTACGAAATGATCCGTCCATTTGTCACCCGTTCTCGCGGAGATAAGAAAATTTGAATCGATATCACGCTCTGGAAGCTAAAGGGGCTCCATTAATTTATTTCACGGAGTCCATATTGAAAATGACTCCGGAGGATAAATCAGCGTCTTGACGCATTAAAGCTCGCTCTTTTTTTGCCGCCGTCGCGTTCGTTTTCTTCAGCGACGTCTAGACGCGTTATTTCACCGTTGGAACCCGCTCTGAAATGATATAGAATTTAGGAAGTTATTTAGTTATGTATGTCTGGCGTCCTGAGCTGGCTAGTAATCAGGCGCCTGGCCTCCGCAAACTGTCCGTCGTTCTTTCTCTCTTTTCTCGTCGCAGTCTTCCCCTCCCCACCCTTCGCCATTCCCTCATGCTCTGATTTTGTCTCGTTCCATCGTTCGTTCATTCGGTAAAGCCCGGTAAATTCTCCAGGGCCGTCCATGTTCTCGGTGCCTCGGTGTCTTACAAGGATAACCTGACAACTTTGAATCTCCAATTACCATGAAACTTTCAAAACACATAGTGAACATCTTCCTTGTTACGAATCACCAACTCAAGGCAGATACGCGAAAGTTTTTGAGTTGTTTGCATTTGAACAAAGTAACAGTAACAAAATAAGAAAGTACAAAAGATAGTTTTCTTAGCCACCAATATCTTGGAAAGAGTATTTTGCTCGCAACATGTCCCCCCTCTAAATCCGTTCGAATTATGCGAGAAACTCTTTTGCTCTATTGTCGGAACCAACACGGCTGATTACGCGGCCAC